AATAGAAAATCTTTTTTTTTTTTCCAACCAGAAACCCTTGCAAAGTTCACAGCAACACCAGGGAGTTTACAAGAGGCATTTGTAAAGAGAAAAAAAACATTTATGGAGAGATCCTACCAGAGGCAGAAAGAAATAAGGAATAAAATACGTGTCCCTGAAAATTCCCAAATCAAAACAGCTAAGGAGAAAACATCTACAGGTATGTTGAATTTTTAAAAGATAATTTCTTAACTACCTCTCTGAACATTTAAAGCCTGGATGACTCTTGTCACCACTTGACTTCGGAGAACTTTAGTTTTGTTCTCGATTGTATCTTTTTCGACCCTTCTTAAGAAATCTAAGACCCAGCCTTTTATTTATCAAGTCACTATTTTTTTCAGGTTCACCTGTGAGTCACCTAAAGGGTGTGAATAAAGTTAGGTTGTCTTTTCCTGAAGACAGAAAGACTACACAAGCCCTCATGCACCAAAGGGCTCTAAGGTAGTAGTGTTCATTTATTTTACTTTAGTGATTTGCCTTTTAGTTATTTGTCTTTAAATCTTTATGAATTTCTTACAGATTACACAATCAGTCAGCTGAAGTGAAACAACAAAAGGAAGAGAAAGCAAAGCAAGAAGCTTATGCCCAAAACAGAATAAAGGCAAAAGAATTTCATAAGGTGAGTGGGAATGGGTCAACTTTTCAAGCCCAAGATATATCAACTGGAACTGCTAAATTTAATTTTTATTCCCTCCACAGAAAACACTAGAGAAACTTCGAGCCAAAAATACATGCTGACTTTCTACAACAGCGTAAAGGGTTTAATTATTTGTGACATTAGGCAAAATTATTTAAAGTTAATAAATTTCTATTCAAGGAATTTCACATGTTGTGACTCCTGCTGCTGCCCATCAAGGTCACGTCTAAAGCTTCAGTCAAGGTTTCTCCTCAAGACAGCCCTGAAGAAGAGAGCAGACATTGATTAAACTTAGACACTCACTCACTTTCCAACATCACCAATCACGGACTATGTATATCTCCTCAGGAAAACACAGCACTATTGAGTGACTATGGCATCCTATGGAGAACTTCAATCTCTGGTCATAGCGTTAAGAGCTCTTGGGTTTCACAGCTCCACAAGCCCTCTTTGAAATGACCTATATGTATTTTCTAACGTGTACATACCTTTTTAAAAGAACTGATGCTTAATCCACAGTCATTCTTTTAGCCCTACATAAAAATGTAAAAGTTAGTTTACATTTCTGGAGATGATCATACAGTATTGAGAATTTGGTTAGCTCAATTGGTTACAGCATGGTGCTGATAATATCGAGGTCCACAGGGTTTGACTCCTATACCAGCCAGCCACCAGAATTTTGAGTTCTGGAGCTAGCCTCCCTGAGCGAGGCAAATCACATTTGCAAGGCTCCAGGGATCTCAGTATAAACTATTAGAATTTGAACTATGGCTGTTGATTAGGGGGGGAAAAAAAATCACACGTGACAGTGGTCATCTAAGCAGGGTAAGTAAAACAAGTAACAGTTTAATTCTCAGTATAAACTATTAGAATTTGAACTATGGCTGTTGATTAGGGGGGGAAAAAAATCACACGTGACAGTGGTCATCTAAGCAGGGTAAGTAAAACAAGTAACAGTTTAATAAAGGGTTAATAAAATGTTCCCAATAGGCTGATTGCTAGCAAAGTAGCAAATAGAAAACCTAGTGGGAAATTTTTTTATGGTCATGTCCACAGCAAATGAGAAACTGCATTCTAAAAGCCTTGGTAATGACCATTATACTGTGGTGAATAACTTATAAGTAACATAAAAACAATTACTTGCCATTAATTCTTTTATGTGGGCTTTTATCTCCACTTTAATATGGACAAACTGATGACAACTTCAAAAATTCCCCATCTATAGAAAAATTCATATTTCAAATTCAGTTACTATTAAATACAGAAAGCACTAAATCTAACTTTCAAAATGAGGTTGCACAGGTCCCAAAGTATCCTAAAACCCAGTGCCCACCTACTATGTATTGAAAATTTCAGGCTTAAAATTGCTCATTGCAGCTATTTGCATCTTTTCAATTCAGTCCATTTCAACTAATATCTGATCTTGCTGTTAGTTCTGTTGAACTGTAAAGACAGCTATTTTGGGCTGACTAGCCTGTTAAAACCAAAGTTGTGGGTTCAGATCCCTGTACTGGCCAGCTGCCAAAAAAAAAAAGCTATTTTGAAGCTTGCATTGCATGTTGGAGATAATTTTTACCTTAGAGCTTTTATAATGTTCTAAAATACAGTGTATATTTAATGAGGATAGATGTTCAGAAAGGCTATTTTCATTCAGCCCATTCAGAGCAGTTGAACATTTTGCCCATCATCATAACACCATACATCACTGATAATCAGTGTAAATACACAGCAACATAGTAAAATCTAGTGTTTTGTCTTAAGTGGATTAATCAACCACCAGGTTTGGTTGCAATAGAATTATTAGATAAATTCTATAACTCTAGTGTGCTTTACCTATATTGCCTTTGAGGTAACAAATTAAAACCTTACCAAGAATCTTTGGGATCTTTATTTCTTTAAGCAATTTACTTTAGGGCCCTAGAAATGGAATTGCAGAAAGTACATAATATTTTGGCAAATGATCTAAAATATATTATTCTTTATTAGTTTCTAATATTGAAGTCAACATTTTTGTTGGTACACATTTTGTCAAGAGCTTATAGGAAAATGTTACAGGTCTCATTGTCACCACTGCAATACATTTACTGTGATGGAAGCATAACCTGTGTCTCAATTTAGCCACATTAACAATTTTTGGACACCATGATCAGTGGTGCCCATTCTCATCTAGAATGAGGCTTTGTAAAAGTTCCTCTCATTTTTATACAATATGCAAATGTGTATCTGTATGGAAGTTCTTGTTACGCTGGCAAGGCTACCATTAGGGGAAAACAAGCAGCTAGATGCAATAGAAATAAAAAGCCTTACATTTTTAGAGTAGACTGACCTGCTCTGTTCTCAATTTTCTGACACCCTAGAAAAGGAAAACAATTAGTTACTATTAGAGACAATTATATCAAACTAAACAGTATGAGAAAACTACAGAAATAGTGTATCAATAGAAATACCAGGTTTAACAAGCACAAAGCCAAGAAAACCAACGATGCCAGATACTGAGTTTCTATCGCACTGTTCTTTGAACACTCCAGCAGGAATAAACTGCTGAGTGCAGATACCATGCAGTGCAATTATGACTGACATTCTACTTACAAAGTTTGCGATGATGCTACTATGAGTAAAACACTTTCACAAATCTTTAAAGTTCAAGTTCCTGTAACAGGTACAATAATTTGACCTTATTCCTAATTATTCCACTGAGGAAACTACATTAACTGCACTTTAAACTAAAATCCTAGTCATTATCTTTATATCCAGTCTCTCTGTATAAGTTACAGATGTAACTGTTTACCCAAATCACTAAAAGAATCCATTAGAAATGTTACGATCACTCAGTCAAGTTACTAAGCAACTCTTATTAATTTTGGCAGCTGGACAGTACAGGGATGGAACCCTGGACATTGGTGTTATCAGTACCACACTCTGGCCGGCCCAGCAACATTCCTTTAAAGAAACTCAATATCCCACATGCAGGTATATGTGGTATTAGGATGAACCATCTGGAATTGCCACTTGAATAAGAGTGCAAAATACAAAGGCAGTTTCATTTGGTAGGCCTGGACATGTGCAGCTTTTCATTCTATACATAAATATATGTTGTGGCAAATATTTTTGCCAAGATTTTAATGATTCCTTTTTTTTTTTGTCTTTTGTCTTTTTCCGTGTCCAGCAACGGATCGCAACCCTCAGTGTCACCCCCATACCAGACCAGGGACCGGCAACGGGATCGCAACCCTTGGTGTTGCTCCCGCGCCTCGCTCAGCCAGTGAGCGGGAACCGGTCTGTATGTGGGATCCGAACCCTCGGGCGGGAGCGCCGCCGCGCTTCCCAAGCGGCGCACTTATCCAGTGCGCCACTGGGCCGGCCCTTAATGATTCTGTTTTAAACCTAAAAGAAATAAATCCCTAGTTATATAAGTATTGGGGCACTGAACTCAACTTATATTTTTAATAACTTTTGAGTCTTTCATAAATTAATAAGATTTAAATATTTCACTTACCTCTCTAATAGAAGAGTTTAAATCATATTCATTCCTATGAGAAAGTACAAAATGAAAGACTTAGGGTACTTAAGTATTTCCAGTTGTCAGAAAAAACCTACAATATAAATTTGATCTCTAGAATTAGCTATGTTCAGCTATCAGAATTAAGTTTTAGTTCATGTCTGTATCATTCAGCAGTTGAACAGTTAAATTCATCATCTAAACTGTAATCGTATTCCCAAAAGATTACACTGTCACCAACTAAAACTTACCTAAGCTATTACTCTCAACAACAGTACAGATCTGTGGGATATGCCAATACCTAAGGTAAAAATAAATTATTACACCGAACTGTAATCGTATTCCCAAAAGATTACACTGTCACCAACTAAAACTTACCTAAGCTATTACTTTCAACAACAGTACAGATCTGTGGGATATGCCAATACCTAAGGTAAAAATAAATTATTACACCTTTCACACTTTTACCAACTGTCTTGTAGTTCCTTTCCACAGACCTAACAAATAGTCCTGTGAGTAAAGCAAAACCACAGACTTACTTTATGAGGCGTTTCCAACGATGAGCGGCTACAGGGAAAGCCCCATCGGGATAGACCTCAACCATTTTTTACAATTTTTATATAAATTTTTATTAAATAAAAATTAACTTATTAAATTAATTTATTAAATTATTTAATTTATTAAAATTAATTTTTATATAAATTTTTTATATAAATAAACAAGTCTAAGACTCCACAGGAAAGCAACTATTAGCACTGTGATATGCTCCAGCCTCTTTGAGTTCAAAATTGTACAAAAGAGCCATAAACAAGAAAAGAAAATGTAAACCCATTTCAATCACAAAAAAAAAAGAAAATCATTTCATAATCACATGGTAGGGATTTTCACCAAGCTGCTTAGGAGCTAGAGTAAAGAAGATAAAATATAGATAGACACAAAGTAACATCAGGTAGCTACCTTAGATGCACTGAAGAAAAAAGGTATTAAAACAAAAAGTATAAAAATTGTAGCCTGAGTCTTAATGAACTTTGATACTGCAATTGCAATAGAGGATGTTTTTTCCCTATTAAATTCACAGATTACAGCAAATTCTACTTTACCTGAATTCCTGCCTCAGAATTTAAGAACTCCATAAAATATTTCCTTAGTTATATGACCAATTATAACAAAGAAAAATATTAATGTGGCTGTAATTATGTTATAATGGGCATTATCAGTAAAGGTAAAACAAATATTTTTAAATTTTACACAATTCAAATTTATGACATCTTATGACCTATGTAGTCACTTCTTTCATTATACTATTAAATCGTCTACCTCTTTATAGGTTATGCATTAATTCGAAATAAATCCAAGTTTCTGATTATTGCTACAAACTTTCAGATTTGGACCCTCTAAAACTTACAAGTAGAATGAAGCTGGCATCACATCACTATAAAATGTGTGAATCCAAGATCTTTTTCAGAAATCAATGTCATTAATTGGAAATTGAGGGGAAGCCACAAATGTCTCTTAATAAAATGAAACCTGTGGAGTTTTAAATTAATCTGACAGTGTTCTATTTACTACATTTAAACAAAAGGGATCCAAAACCTTTTATTAAGGCATACCTTCCAATTTCAGACATCATATTCTGAAGATAAAAGCCTTTAAAAAAAAAAAAGCCATCTTTATGTATCATGTCAACACGATATCAGAATACTAAATAAACATAGCGAAGAGTTCCCTAATATCATAAGCTTTTTAATTATCAATACTACAGTCCTGGAACCAACCTTTATGGTTATCAAAACCTTTATCACTTTAAACTATCTCACATTACTGTAATATTCCTTCTTCTATGTATCAAAACTCATACTGAACAATGAGTCCTGGGTTGCAAGAGAGGTGGTTTTTTTTAGCACCTGTCTGTAAGTCTTTGTCCACAAGTTAAACAAAAACAAAAACACAAGTGCAGGGTTAAATGCAGTATATTCAGCAGAATAGTCAGTTCTACAGTGGTGATTAAAATAAATGGTGGTTGAAGACATATTAAAATATTCCAGGTATTTGGGAAGGGAAAATCAGGTTCTTATTAAAATACTAAACACCTGACAGCAAAGGTTACTTCTGTTTGAAAAAAGCTGGGATAAAATTATAGATTTCAAGTACCCTAAAGAAAGTGACTAGTTGTGATTTCATCTATGATTTTTTCAGGATTAAAATCTCTGCACTTCTTTCAATGTTCAAATGACACCTGTTAGCTCTTTTGAGATCAACAAGCATTGGCAAAAACAGCAGGACATTCTGTTTATTATTTAGAAGCTGAAAATTTGTTTTATTTTCCCTGGTGTCTTAAAATGTTTTTCTTAACAATTACTTCTTATTCTTTAGGAGTTTCTTTCACAAACTTCTTCAGAGGTTGTTTTTATCTAATTCTCTTTAATAGGTTCTCGCATAGAATATATAGCCAACATTTATGATCTTTAGTTATTTATTTCTATGAAGTCACTTTTTCTCCATATTGTTTACCTTCTTGACATTTATGTTCCTGTCTTCTTTTCAGGACACTGTGTTCTCTGTCCAATGTTTTTAGCCTTTGAAGCTCTTTTTTTAGATAAAGCAACTTCTTGTTCTAAATACACACTCATCTTTGGGAATTCAGAACACATTATGAAACAACTATCCTCCTGCGTTAGAAAAAAAAAGATCAGTATTAAGCAGTAACTCATGTGATTTAGTAATTACACATAGCTGAGTGCCAGGTTACTTCAAATAACCTACAGACTACATCTAGATGTTAGAAGTCCAAATTAACATCTGCATGTTTTCTTTGAACCCTAACTAGCAATACCATGTATTTAAAATGTTACTTAAAAACAGTATTGAAAAGCCCATGTTTTCATTATCAAATATGCCAAAAGTTAATATTTTCATTTTTGCATTTCCTGAAGTAATCTTTTTATTTAGACTTAAAAATTAAATGCACTGTAAGACAAAAACTACTGGATAAAATTTTTCCTGTACCAACTCCTGCCTTCCCAAAATGAAAAAGGAAAAAAAAAAAATAAGTCACTTACTACCAATTTGATATCACACTCATCATTTTCAAGATGTGTCACATCCTCTTCCTCTGCTCTGAAACATTAAAATGTATCACTTAGATGACAGATCATCTATGACCTAATAAATTGTACTAAGCTGACATACAACTGAAAAAGCAATGCTAGTCAAGGCATAAAAAAAATACAGTATCTGTTTAACACCCCAAAATGGCCCATTTTATCCATGTTCACTATTAAAGTACAAAAAAAGTGATGGCAAAATATGGAGCAAGTAACATTAAAATTTAACTTGATAAAAAAAATCTATGACCAAAGTTATTTCACATGATTCAACTTACGCTGACTCTTCAATAGGGGAAATGGATCCATCATCATCCAAATACTTATACCTACGACTGTCAAGATCTTCTTTTTCTAAATCTTCACCAACATCCATTTGTTTCAATGATTCTTTAAGATGATGTTCATACTTCAGTTTTTCGATGTAGTTAAAAAATCCTCTTGCAACAGCTTGCTGTATATTGAAAACCATATTTTATGTTATGGCCTTACAAAATTGATTTTTCATGACTCAGTACATGCCTGTGTTCAAAAAAGGGCAGGATCCCTTTACAAAAAACTCTGAATTAGCTACCCTGATTTAACTACTCTGCATTTCTGGACCAAATGTTATCAAGTACTGATTGTAGAAAAAACTCACATAGCAATTACCAAAACTAACCTAAGCTGGTAGCAAAAAAAGCTTAAGCACAAATCTTCTGTCAAGTGTGGGAATTACTAAAGGCATTTTTAAATGTAAAGATAGGAACAAAATTTCTAATGTTTATTATAATCATTTTAATCTTAAAATGTTAACAAGTATTAATCCTCTCAAAATTACAAGTTCTGGCATGGGATCATAATTAAACATGCATTCACTCGACATTCAACTCAGATATTTTAAAGAGTTTACTGCTAAGTATTACAGTATTTATCAGGAAATTCTATTAGAAACAACCAGACTTTAAGAAAATCTACTGAACATGAAAGGCATGTGTGGGTTTGACTTAGGCTACTGAAAAACTGGGAGTCATGTGAGCTTTTAGGTTGTGGTTTAAGATCTGAGATTGGATGAAATCAAGTAATTTTATATAAACAACTTTGGAGCACTATTATTTATCATTTATTTATTTATTATTTGCGGGGATCTGAACTCTTAACATTGGTTATTATAATACCATGCTCTAACCAGTTGGGCTAACTGGCTACCCCAGAGCACTATTCTTTAAATTCAGCAAAGGTACATTCACTATTCACTGAAGAAATACACCCGTTAAGATTCCACTCAAATCCAAATGAAATTTTTGCTGAAGGACGGAGTGAACTTTAGGTGGAAGAAGTCAGTACAGAAGAGTACTATCAAAATTGCAGATTGTGTTCCTGTTCTATCTTAGACAATTCTAAATGTGGCCAAAAAATCACTTCAAGACACTTTAGCTGTGTGTATTCATACATATATATTACACATATATTATATTAAATATACATGTAAAAAATACTGACTCACCTCAAAGGTTAAAATTTTTCTCCAAGGTAATTGTTTTCTTCCATTCTCTGATTCTAAAAATGGGAACCCAGGCACTCTTTCTTTAAATTGTTTCTTACATATTTGTGAGATTCTAGTGTTTCTCCTTCCCACTGGTCTTCCTGTTGGTCTTCCCGTTGGCTTGTATTTCCTCCTCCTCCTTTTACGTTTCTTTTGCTTAAATCTTTCAAAAATAGCTTTTAAAGTCAATGGTCTTGGCTCAAAAGATGAGTCACTTGATGAATCTCTTGCTTGAACGCTTTCGGGTGAATGAATAATTTTTCTAATGGGGTTTCTTTGCCTCCGTTTAGGTGAGGAAGGAACACATTGAGTTTTAAACAAGCTGCTACCAGAAGAGGAGTTATCACTACAAAAATGGAAAAAAATTTTCATCTTATATTACTGAATGCTTTTGTACATTTCTTTCAAGACTATCTCAGAAAACATGCCCAGAATAAATACTTAAAAAAAGAGGGCTGGCCGGTTAGCTCGATTGGTTAGACGGTGGTATTCTAAAACCAAGGTCAAGGGTTTGGATACCCCTGCCAGCAGCCCCCCGCCCCTCCCCCCAAAAAAAAGATGGCCTGAGTACCAGCCAGCCATTGACTCCTAACCACCTTATCTAAGATGGTTCATTAATAAGCACTTATTTATAAATGAAATTTTATCCTCACAGAGAAAATATAAGCTCCAAGGGCCGGCCCGGTGGCGCACTGGATAAGTGCGCCGCTTGGGAAGTGCCGCGGCGCTCCCGCCAAAGGGTTCGGATCCCACATACAGACCGGCTGCTCACTGGCTGAGCGAGGCGCGGGAGCGACACCGAGGGTTGCAATCCCGTTGCCGGTCCCCGGTCCGGTACGGGGGCAACACTGAGGGTTGCGATCCGTTGCCGGACATGGAAAAAGACAAAAAACAAAAAAAAAAAAAAAAAGAATAATTATGATTTGTAACAACTAAAAAAAAAGATATTCTTTTTTGTTCATGAAATATCAGAGACACCCTCCCCTCCCCTTCTCTTGTGTGTTATGGCTGGAGGGTTGCGATCCATTAGCGGACACGGAAAAAGACAAAAAAAAAAAAAAAAATATAAGCTCCAAAAGGGCTGTCTGGTTCACTGCTATAGCCTCCACTAAATAAAGCACACAGCCTACTAGACAAAACAGAATGCTTTATTTGGGAAAGGATACCAGGTTGAGCCGGAGAATACATTGTTTCCCTAAGCTAAGAATGTATTCCACTATAATATATTGAGACTTTGAATCAAAGTATTTGCAATAATAGGATACTTCAAAATGTTCATAGAAAAATAGAATTAAAAGATAATGCTAATATTCCTATGATCTTTTTGAAGACCCTTTGTACTATTTCAATAGTAACATAATTAATCAAACTTGGAAGGTCTGTAACCTGGTCTTCCTTCTTCCCATTCCTGAAAACTAGTTACTGCCCCTTTCCTGGCAATTCACATACAGTGAATGTTATCATTGAATCTACTTGTTTCCCAGTAGAAACCCACTTACCTCTGATTTTCAGTTTCCATAGCTGAATAAGATGTCATGCAGTCAAGAGAATCCATTCCTGATTTGCTTTAAACACTTTTCTGAAATTATGAATTTGCTAAATGTGATGTAGTATCTCTAAACAAACAGGTGCTGACACGCACAGCTAGTATGAAATATAAAGTTCAACACAGTCAGATTATGCCATTATATTTGAATTTAGGCAAAATCATTCACCAGGCTTTTAAGTTTCTTATCTAGAACAGTCCATTTCAGATCAATTTCCAAAATAAAAGTGGAAATTTCACTCATAGGTTTTCTTTCAGTTTCTGCCCTCTAAATCAATGCAACAAGATTCCAGAAGAGTACTCATTTCCAACAAAAGCATCTTTCTGAATACAGGCAAAAAATATACTTTTATCACTAGCCATATAGTAATGTACAATAGCCAATATTAATGCACAATTAATGGCCAAAAAGCCATTTTCAAGATCAACAGAGAACTCCTAGGAAATCCTTTACATAGAAAGCCAGAGGCAAAGTATGCCCTCAGTATACCAGGAAAAATAATCCATAGTATTGGATCGCGATCCAATATACTATTTCTCCTGGTCTGGGACTTTTCCTTGTTGCCTCATGTCCACATCCATTCTTTGACTCAAAGTAACCGAACTGTCTTCCTTGTCATATTATTTATATCTTTGCCATTATTGGTGGAAATTTACGAGTTCTGAATTCCCAACCTTTTTGATAAAAAGCTAAAACTACAATGATGCTTTTTGCCATCATCTCCTTGGTAGAAAATGCAATAGGTAAGGCAACAAGAGTTAAGGATTCCACTACTGCATCTCCCTTGCTAGTTTTTGTGTATTTTTTTTTTATTCTTTAGCATCTTAGAAATCGACATAGGAGTCATGACAAATTAACCTAAGATAAACTAGCAAAATATTTCAAATTCAGAAAAACGTTAAGGTCACTAAGATCTCAGACTTGTGAAATACCCAATGGACCCATGTGGTAATTTTCCTGATAGGATGTTTTATCAGTGTTCTTAAATATCAACGGCTCAAAAGCGAAATTCAACAAAAATTTGGCCCGAAGTCACTGAATCTGTTTAAAGCTTAATAGAGGACTATCAAAATAAAGCTAGTTCACAAATCTGGGCCGTTTATAAAGCATTCCTGCTTAGGTGCTGCTTCCCATTCTGGGACTCTGCGATTTTTAGAGGCCACATGGCCAGATGGCGGCACTTAACCAGAGCTAACACCTGTGTCTGATCTTGGGCGTCTCTCCTGGAAGCAAGGGACATGGCGTTAATAATGGTTACCTTTCACTTAGCAAAATTAAAAAACTTTTAACCCCAGACACAATGAACCACAGTCTGACTACAACTGTGTTCGTGTGAGCCAACCACTAGGCCTGGATAAGTCCACAATGCGAACGCTCCAACCTCAGGGCCGACTTCCGAGGCTTGAGTCTCCCAAGCAACGCACGCATTCCGGGGAAACCTAGACCACCTCTCCCCCGCCCACCAGGCCCGGACGGCCACGTCCGCTCGCCTTTATCCAGAATGGCAGACGGCTTATACCAACAAGCTCCGCTTCCGCACGGATCCCAGCTGCGTACCTGCTGCCTGCAACCCACGCCACCGGCCAGGAATCCGGACTGAATTGGTACGTGAGTCCCTGGGGGTCTGCGCCCATCACCCTCCCGAACTCAGCCCTCTAACACACAAACTGCCTACCTCCTCCGACCATGCGGAAGAAAAAGACGGAGCAACCTCGCGACCCAGCTAATAGTGGGTCCGAAATCTCGCGTTACCCCTTAGTTCCCGGGAAGGAAGCGAGTGGTGGGAGGAGACAAGACGCGGGCGCCATTTTGACGGTCGTGTGGGGAGGCGTGGTTGGGAGTGGGCGGGGCTTAACCTCGCTGACCCGGAGAAGGCGGGGTTGACTGAGGCAAAGATGAGGATTGAGGTGTGGGCTCTCCGACAGACTAGGTAAGTGGAATAGCCGGGAACATTTCAGCAAGTAGCAAAAGGAAATTGTGGGGTCAAGTGAGCGGAATGGACGTGAGCTGTGAGAAAACATCCTTTCAGCTCGACCTGTTTCCGGTGGTCTGGCACCTGATGAGCTGTCGTCTGCTTTTCTAAAGCCTGATCTTGGTGTGTGTGCGCGCGTCTGTTTTGCCATACGATGTCTACTTTTGCCTCCCAAAATCTCTTCCGTGTTAAAGTATTGGGAAAGGCTCATAACTTTGACCATGACTCCAAATGTGTAACCTTTGTACCGGAGGCCAGGGATGCTCCATAGCATGCCCCATTCCTCTCCCCACCTTTGGACTGGTTTTGTTAGCTCACCCTTTCGCCTGCCAGGCTACTAATCTTCAGCGGAGGACTTTTTTTTTTTTTTTTTTGCTTGAGTTCCCCCTTCCCCTATTAGTTCCCTGAACGGTTACTGAGTTAAGATTAAACAGTTTGAACTAGTTTGGTTTGGGTGGATTTTTTTCCCCCGAAGTAGTAAAAAAAACAGGAATGAACTCGTTTGATTTTTCCGCTTTCAGACTTCGTGTACATATGACAAACCAGTAAAGCTGTCTAGTTTTGTTTCAGGATTGGACAGGCCTTTGAAAGCAATCTGGCCTTTTTACTCAATTTTATTCCAAATATTGTACAATTCCAGGGAGAGAAAGTCTGATCCTGTAGGCAGCCTACTACATTCGATCCACAGTCTATACAATTACTGAAGTGAGCTCTAGGACAGGTATGTCATGTCTAATTCACTGCTATATTCAGGAGCTATGTAATTTGTGAGGCTCGGTGCAAAATGAAAATGCTGGGTCCCTTGTACAAAAAAAAAAGGGAAAAGTGCTATTAAGGGTACTAAAATATCAGCTCTTTTTTTGTGGTATTGCTGTCAACTTGTGGTGTTTTTGGATTTGCTATTTAATGTGATTATAAGTAAAGAAAAATTAAAACTATTAGCATGAATTTTACCATTTTTCTTTATATTGTGCAATGCCAGTTTTAAATACAAATGTAAGAACATTTAACTTGTATGCAGAATCACTGAAGTTTTGCAATTAGTATTTGGTAGCTCATACAAGCATGTGTATTTCGTTCTTAATAGCACAATGGAAACACTGCACAATACTAACTCACCTGTTTTTATTTTACTTCTTGATATGTGCACGTTCTACCAACATTCTATGCAATCCAGGGACTTTGCGTCTCCCTGAACTCTCATGCATATTGGGTCTATCAGAATTCTGTGCTCGTGTGGCATCACAAACATTTTATGTGAATGGAGTGGCGAGGCATGGTGGATTAGCTCAGTTGGTTAAAACCGGGTGTTGTAACACCAAGGTCAAGGGTTCCGATCCCCGCACTTGCCAGCTGCGGAAAAAATAAATTGGGGGAATAAAAAAGAAAGAAATAGCCGAGGACACACACATTGCACCTCTCTCCTCTGGTCCTGTTCATACTTCATTGTCTTATCAGACTTCACTCAAACAAAACATAAGTTCAGATACAAAGTTGTTAAGAATTTCAAGAAAGTGACAACAGAGCATTAAACCAAGGTTCATTCTGAGCACATGACCCTGTGTTACACACCCTGTTACACATCAATGAAGCCAGCCCTGTCCCAGAGCCTTGTGAGTCTGGTACATTGTAAATGTTTAATAAATAACAGGCTAAATGAGTGCCCACTGTAGGCTAGGTATACTTGGAAGATAGATAAGAGATCACAGTCTAAGGGGAAAAAGCAAAGCAAACAGATGATCACAGGTATACTCCTGAGTGCTTTAGAATCATTCTAAACAAATTCCTCCCTTTTGTGAACAGAAGTATATCATTCCTTCACTGGTGAAACAGCATGGTTTACAGTGCATTAGATATGGTTTTGTCCTTTTTTGTGTGTGTGTGACCGGTAAGGGGATCGCAACCCTTGGCTTGGTGTCGCTCACATCGCGCTCAGCCAGTGAGCGCACCGGCCATCCCTACATAGGATCCGAACCCGCGGCTGGAGCGCTGCTGCGCTACCCAGCGCCGCACTCTCCCGAGTAAGCCACGGGGTCGGCCCACATTAAATATGGTTTTGAACTGTTTCTGTTACTTACCTGAGATATATTGGGTAAATACAGTGATATATTCTCTCTGGCCTATTTCCAGTTTTGTAAAATGAAAAGGATAATACCTACCTGTCATGATTATGAGAAATTTTTAGAGAATGTCTGTAAAGTTCCTAACGGTGTCTGGTATATAGTGTGTACTTAATAAATGGTAATCAGCTTGGTTGCCATAGTTGGTCTACCCCTTTGGGTGTTGTCTCTGCAGCTCCACTTAGCCAAATGCTTCCTATTTCTATTCTTCTGTTCTCTATATCCTATTTCTAGGTCATTGACTCCTACCAACTAAATCAGAAAGGTAAATATTGTTTGCCTCCATCTGGTACAAGGCTTTCCTCCTGGAGCCACTCTTGAGTTTACATGAGGATCTTTCCTAACTTCTTTCTCTTATCACTCAACTCCAGCCTCCCCCCACCTCCCACACACATACATACACATAATACCACACTGCCTTCTGTGCTGTTGGCCTGCCTGAAATTCTGCATTTCTAAACCAGTTATTAAGGTTGTCACCTCGCAGGATTAGACTTTGTTTCTATTTTGGTGGGGAAATAAACAAACAAAACTGCAGTTCTTTTAGAGATGGTAAATGGTATAAAATTAGGATTGTATTTGAAATTTAACTTGAGTCCGTTCATTCTTATTGTAAGAAATATCTGAAGTGCTTAGTATCCTCATTATAAATGAATATACTATTCATTGTGGAGATTTTGACATGTTCATAAATTAGTTAGTACTTGCTGGTTGCCTGATAAAGAATGTGATAAAATGTGAACATTTGGAAAATCTGGGTGAAGAGGATACAGGAATTATTTGTATGTAATTTTTGTCAATCTGAAATTATTTCAACAGAAAAAGTTAAAATGTCTCATTCCTGAGCAATGTTAGATTATTCACCTCAAAAATATGTTTAAGATAATTGAAGTATGATTATAAAGGACTTGGGGCCTGTTATCAACAGTTATTTATGTTTTATTGGGAGACCAGATTATGTATATTAAATAATTAAAAGACAATGAAGGCTGATATTTGATAAAGTACAAAAGTGAATGTCAAGTCCTAAATGTATGCGATAGCTTGTTTGTAGAGGATATGTTACTTGAAAGTATTATCAAAACTAGAACCCCAGTTTCTAAGAAACCTGTGAATCTTTGGGAAATTTTTTAAAAATATTTTTTGGAAGAATTTTCAATTGCCGCTGAGGGAGTTTTCACTTGCTAAATAAGCATTTTAAAGCCAGAGACTATCCAGATTAATGAGGTGTTCTATTAACAATTGTAATGGGAATTCCAAAGTGCTCTTAGAAAGATCCTTTTGGTGGCTGGCCAGTATGGGGATATAAACCCTTGACCTTGGTCTTATAACACCGTATAACACCGTGCTCTAACTAACTGGACAGCCCCTTAAGAGCTAACTGGACAGCCCCTTAAGAGTTTTGTCTATATTCATTCTTGTGATTGGCCTAGACTGGGATTCCCTGCCCACTTCATATTACTTTTTTTTCCCTGCCTTTATTTTATTTATCTCACTCTGCTTGTGCACCTCCTCACCTGAACACTTTTGAGGTAAGATACTAATCTCTGTTTGTGTATACCTATTTATTGTAAAGCATACTTAGCATATATTTTTTAAATATCAAATTAGAATTGGTTAGATTATCAGAATAATTGATCATTAAAGCTGCTTACCAAGAAATTATATTTGTAAATGAAAGTAAAATTTTGAACTCCAAAGCTAATAATTCTGTAGAAATTTCCATTTCTATTAGTAATTTAAATTTTCTTTTGTAAAAGTCATAGTCTAATAAACTTATTTAATTTTTAGCCTAAATATCAAATATAGAGTAGAAAACACAAATTATCTGTTATAGAAATGCTTGAGAGTTCTATAATGTTATTTACAACCGTTTAAATGCTTATTCATAAGCCTTAATAAATACCTTCTGCTTCAAGACCTATTTTCCTTAGACTAACTATTAGAAAATTGCATGTTAAATCTAGATATATGACTAAAGAAAATGAATCATCTGTGCCTTCTTGGTTTGGCATTTTCTCTTGTCTATTTTAAACATCAGCCATTTAAAGTATCAGTATTAAAAGAGATCATTTGTCCATTTCTCACTTGGAATATTAAATGCTAGAAGCTATGGTTGCCTTTCTGTGAGGATAGAAACCTAAATGCCCTTTTGCCCTCTTTATATAATTGAAATCTTCATGTTCATTTCCAGAGCAGCAGCTGTTCATGCTTGGAGCATTATGAACTCTTAGGATAATTAGCCAACAATAGCTTTATTTGTACAACCTCACACCTAAAGAAGAAAGAAAATGGCTTGTGCTGAGTTTTCTTTTCACGTGCCAAGTCTAGAGGAGCTTGCTGGAGGTAAAAATAATATTAATTTTGGATACTTATGTATATCTATATCTTACCAAAATACTACTTTTGATACAGAATTCATTTTCCATTTTAGTATCTGTTCTGTACTGTTTTCATTGAGAAAGTCCAAAATTCTGTTTCTCAGAAAATTAAACTCATCATTTATAGATTCTTGATGATACCAACTTAAGAGGATGAAAAGAACTATAGTAATCCAAGACTTAAGTACATGTGATGCCCAAAGGTTGCACAATTTTGCTTTAACTTTTTACCAGCTACAATATTCTTTAAATATGTAATCTACTGTTGTGTATTAATCATGTTCCCAATATACTACTTTTCCCCCTCTCTTGTTAAGACAGACTGCCAGTGAACTTGCTTAGGTTTCTCTGTGTATATTTTTATATATTTTACCTTGTCCAAACAAGAATTTAAGGCAGTTTCCCAAGATAAATTGGAAGAAGGGAAGATAGATGAGAAAAGGAAAACAAAAATGGAGACATAAAATGAATACAGAAATAGTATCTAATCAAAAACTGTAAAGCCTATAAGAGTGCTGACCTTTATCTGACATCCTTTGCTTTCTATTCTGACGGTAACTAGAGAACCTTCTCTTATTTCTCAAAGTTTGTATTGTCCTGGTAGTTCATCTGTCCTGATAAGATTGAAGTCAAGAAGTATACTCATTTTTTGCTTAGCTGTGGCTTTCCTCTTATAACTTTCCTGTTGTTTTTTTTTTTCCCCCTAATTGAATGGTAGCTAGTAAGCAGTCTATATTGCTAGTATTCTTTGGCCTGTATTTCTTTTCTATCAGCCTTTCTGTCTTCTCTGATATAACAGGACAGCTAGGAATCTTTTCCTCGCATACCTTTCTAGAACCTATCTTCTCTTGTGTGTTTATGTTTCTATTTTCCTTCTATATGTACAGGATATATTCAATACAAAATAGAAATCTAATATATGTTTCTTTTTTTTTTTTTTCCTTTTTGTCTTTTTTCGTGTCCGGCAACGGATCACAACCCTCCGTGTCGCGCCCGTACTG